TTCTCCACCTGTGTTCCAGGAAGCTGACAGATACAGGTGACTTTTGCCAAGTCTCTTTCCCTCTGCTTTCCTGTTGTGATTAACCAGTGGGGTTTCCAGCAGGCCATGTTAGAGAGGCACAAGCTCTCCCCAAAGTATCACATTTGTCTGCACCATCTGTATCTTGCTAGGATCTGACGGAAAAACTAGAATTCAATGTTGTGACCCCTTAGGTCTGGCATAACAAAATACCATAGACTGAGTAGCTTATGAACGTCAGAAATGTATTTCCTGTAATTCTACCAGTTGGGAAAGCCAAGGTCAAGATGTTTGCATGTTCTCTGTCTGGTGAAGACCCTCTTCTTTGTTCATAAATCATACCTTCTAGCTATGTTTTCATATGGTGAAAGGGTAAAGCAACTCTCTGAGACCTTTTTTTATTGTAGAAGGATTAATCTTTCCCATAAGAAATGATCTAATCGGCTCTCCAAGGGCCACCCCCCACACATGCACCATTTCCTACTGTCATCATTTTAGAAGTTAGAACTTCAATATTATATGAATGGTGACAAGACAGATGTCACAAATATGCAGATCACAGCACTGGGAAATCAGGAAGCTTGGCAGTAGTCTAGGCAAGAGTTGATCATATGCTGGTTGTTGTTTATTTTGGAGGCATAGTTCCTTTGTTTTAGAGGCAAATCTGACATTTGGTCATGAAATCAGTTCTAGGGGAGGGGTATGAGAAGCTGGAAACTCAAGAATGCTGCCTAAATTTTTATCCTAAACACAGTTCCATTCACCAGCTGAAGAGGATGAAGAAAGGAGCAGCTGGGGTGAGACTGGAGAGGCTGGATCAAGAGTTTCACTTCCGATCTGTTTAAGTCAAGAGACCTAATCATATTTTGTCAGAACCAAGAAGTCAGACCTTGAGACTAAATCCTTTTTGTCATCATAAAGTTATTTCTTTCAGATAATTGTGGCTTCAAAAAATTATATTAAATTCATGGAAAAATTTTAGTAATTCATGGAATGGAAAATGTAGAGAACACAGTTCCCTGTTTGGCAAGTCCTCAGGAGTCAGTAATCCACATGGCTAGCTGTCTAGTTATAAAAGAATTCTGAAGACAGAACAATAAAAGGTCATAACTTATATGATTATAACAAACTGATTGTTAGAAGAGAGAATTTAATAAAACCGAAATTTGAACCTAAGAAATCATGCATAAGACTACAAAACTAAATTTAAAACCTTAGTTATCCATCGTTACAGAAAGGGTTTTCCTAAATAAGTGAAATGCTTAGCCACCAATTTAAATTCTGCTGAAGTACCAACTTTAAATCAGTGCTACAAACATTTGTCAAAGACTTCCATGAACAGAAGGCATTGTACTAGGCATGTGGGTGCAAAATTAATTAAAGTGTAATTCTTTAATATTTTATTGAATTGCATCTAAAACCTAAAATAAAAAAATTTGCTTCTCTAAAAATGACTCCAAGGAGTCTCTGAAGTAAGCCACAAAGAAGGTAAAGGTCTGAGGCCAATAGATTTTTTTCTTAAGGACAAAAGACACTAGAAAAGCCCTTGCAAGTTACTGTTTGGGTCAGGGATGAGCAACACATGCTCTCCAGACTACCACACATGTTCTCACTGCAGTGCATTGCCTAGGAACTATGTTCAAATGTAGCTTGTCTATTCAGAAATCAAAGAGTTTAAGGAAAACAAGTTTCTAGGGTCAGCAGTGTAGATCAACTGTTTTGAAAGGCTGGTCCCCTACCTAGATTCTGGACTGGCAGTCAGTGAGGGTCTTAAGAATAAGAGGTTAACATTTGAATTGCAAAACACCAAATCCCTCCAGTGAGGTGACAGCAGGCTGAGCCCTTGGCATGAAGCACCCCTCAGAGGACCTCCCACTGGTTCTGTAACCAGAGAAGATTTGCTACAACCACAGGGAAGAGACACTGAGCTTGGATTTGTTTCCCAGTATAACCAGGAGTTAGTTTACAGCAGAAGTTTGGTGAACGTTGCACTAAATGGAAGTAAAGAACTCTAGTCTGAGTGGCCTTAATTGAATAACTTCGTCTCTCTGAAACTTAGTTCCTTCATCTGTGACATGGAACTAAGATCTACCCACAGGATGGTTTCACCATTTTTGTAAGCTTTCAGTGACAGCGAGTTGATTCTAGCAATAAGAAAATACTTTTTTCACTTATTCAATAAGATTATTTTTATTTTGAATTTTAAAGTTCCAAATGCAAAAGAGGTTGTTCACCATGTCTAGATCATTTGAAAGTAACTAAGATTAAGAGGTTCATAAGCCAAAGTTGCTAGCTTTTCTAATATCATTATTGAATACCTCTGTGACCTCAAGCCTTTCACAAATGCTATACTTGCGTGGGTGGGATCCAGCTAACCACTGGTCATAGCAGAGGACTCTCTAAGCCCTAAATTTTCCTTTCCATGTTTATTTTAGTTCCACTAGGAATAGCGGAAGGGCACTCATTTGGAGAGATGCTTTTCAGCTCTGTCTGCACAATAGAATTATCTAGGGGAAAACTGCCTAGGAGGTTCTTTAAAAAAAAAAAAAACTAGTGCTTGGAACCTACCTTCTAGAAATTGATTCAATAAGCTTGCGCATAAGTACTTCTAAAAGCTCCTAGGTGAATATGCCCATCAACAAATGAATCAATATTGTATTTATATACAATGAAGTACTACTCTACCAAACGAAGGATAAGTTTGAGTCCTTTGTAGGAAATGGGTGTGCCTTGAGATCATAATCTTAAGTAAAATAAACAAGACACACAAGTTTAAATGTTGCATTTTTTCTCTTATGTGTGAAACCCAAAGGGTAAATAAGGAGCATAAGGGAGGAGAGATATTGGAAAGTAGGGGGAACATGTTCAGATAGGGAGGGGAGAGAAGAAGGAAAGAAAAAAGGAAGGAAAAGAAAGAATGAAAGGAAAAAAATGGAAACATAGTCTTCGTAAATGGGGAGAGGAAGAAGAGTTGGAGGGAGGGGGAAGGAATGGGAAAAAAGAATTAAGATATATTTTGAACAGGTACAAATTCTCTGTGATGAAACTGACCAATATGTATGGCAAATGTGTACTAATAAAGTTAAAAGAAAAGCTGCCATGTGATATTAGGGTATATCCAGGTTGAGACTACTGACTAAGAGTAAAATCTGGGCCTCAGGAGAGTTTTAACTGTTCCTGAGTTACTTTCTCATTTTGGGGACAAAATACCTGACATCCAAAGTTACAGGAGGAAAGGTTTATTTTGGCTTACAGGTGGCAGAGGTTTCAGTCCTTGGTTATCTGGCTCCGTGGCAGAGGGGCATCGCAGAGGACCGCCAACTCATGGCATGGCATGGCAGGCAGGCAGGAAGCAGCCAGGAGCAAGACAGGAGGAGGATATTTATTGCTTCCAGCCACACCAAGTAACCCACCTCTTCCCAGCAGGCTTCACCTTGCAGCATCACACCCAACTATAAACCAGTCAGTGAGCTAATCCAGTGTCACACATCCATGATCCAGTCACCCCAAAGCCCTTCTTATAAGTGCATGAGGCTTTGGGGGACATCTCAATATAAATCTAACAGTACCCTAGGACACTGTTATCACCACCATACCCTGCGATTTTCAGTTCAAATGACAAAGCACAGAATTCCCCATGGCTAGTTCTAAGAACACTGCCCCAAGAGCCATTCATGCAAAGACAGTGCTCAGACTTCTTAAATCCAGGCCATTTCTCAGTGAGCCCAGGTGCCACAAGTTAAGGCCAGGGAGTATTTCTGAAGAAATAACACTCTCTAAATGATTGTAATAAACTAGCTCCAGCAGAGAGTGGCCATACACTGATATACCAGATAGGGTTACATGAGTCTGAGTGATAGAAGCTCAAAGTGACAGTGGTTTTAATGGAATACAAAAGCTTTTCTCTCACATAAATAAAGCAGTCCAGGGAAGGCTTCACAATCAGGCAGCTATTATCTTTTTGCCTACTACAATCAAAGATGGAAACTGAAATTTCCAATGTGAACATTCCAGCCAGTGAAGAGAAAAGAAAAACAACAAAAAGACGTCACACATTTTATTGTGCACGACCTATCTGTCTGTATCCCATTAGCAAGCATCCAGTCAAGTGGGCATATCACCCTTCAAGGGAGGCTGCTATATACAGTCTGTCCTGAAAAGTCATGTGCCCAGCTAAAATCAGGGGGCTTTTTTTGCCTGAGAGGACAAATATTCCTAGTATTTGTCCTAGGAAAGGCTCAACAGTATGCATCTCAGAGGGCTTTGCTTCCTCCTGTGCAGCTGGGTTAAAACTATTAAGTTACATGTAAACAACGTTTTTTATTGAGGCCCCTCTGAAAGCAAGTGACATGAGGAGGCTATTTTTCTTGTATTCTAAATTCCAGCAGCTCTGGCTCCCGTTTCCCTACAATAGCACCAGTCCAGCAAGAAAAGTATTCCAAAGAAGGTTTTCACAAAACCAGGCCCTCAATCTAATGCTGCCCAGCGAGGTAAAGTGAATGCTGGTGCTTGGAGAGAAAGGACTGCTCCTCCTGCAAAGTAATTTCTCCAGATTGATGCTGATGGCAGGAGCTCATTCCTGTTCATTCTAGAAGCAGCAGAGATTGTTTTCACTGGGTCGTAAATATGCTGAACGCTCTGTTATACTAACCTTTTAAACCGGTTGTCTTGAGTGACTACAAATCATAGTTCAGGAGCAATTTTGTAAGATTCCAAGGCCATGGAAATTCCTGAATGCTCAAGTTAAATATGTGGGATTAAGGGCGGAGGGTATGCAGATTTTGCTAAGAAAATTATTTCAAAAGAGGGAACGAAACCTTTGGCCTGATTCCTAGTTTGCCTGATTTGTCTTTCCTTTTTCCCTTTCCATTTTTTCCCTTTTTTTTTTTTTTTTTTTTAATATTCTCAGCCAAGGCTAAGGTGGAAATCAGAAGTCAGACCACCTTCCTGTGCTGAGTTGCTTTCTCTTCCTTCTCTCCCAGTGTTCCAGGACCTGTGGAGGAGGTGTTCAGAAACGTGAGGTTCTTTGCAAGCAGCGCATGGCTGATGGCAGCTTCCTGGAGCTTCCTGACACCTTCTGTTCTGCCTCCAAGCCAGTGTCCCAGCAAGACTGCAAGAAAGAAGACTGCCCCAGTGAGTGGCTTCTCTCCAACTGGACAGAGGTGTGTAAGTCCCTCAGAAAGAGAGACCGAGACGTGTGCATAGGAAAAAAAAAAAACACTCCCAACACATACATATAAAAGAGAAGAAGAGAACAAAACAATTTAACATGAAACAGGGTTTTTGCTCCATTTATACCGCAGTATGTAAGTAGCTTTCAACTAGGCTGCGGGAACCTGAGTTATGTGGCCAGCCCGCACCCAGTAATTGGCACTTGGGTTGTAAATGCACTCCTCCTGGATCCAAATCAGGACGCTGGATTCGTCTCCCTCTATCTCTGCTACATCCCCCTCCTGACCTCCCTGTACCTCCTACTCCCAGATGTTTCCAGTCTCTGCTCAGGAAGGGCAAAGCCTCTCTTGTTCTTCTCTTCCAAGTTACTGGACAATAAAGGATATGATTTATTAGCAAAAGAAGGCCAAGGAAATCCTGCCTCTTAACTGTTAGTTTCCTGGCTCTAAAACTTCAACAACTTCCCAGCAAGAGAACTTGATTTCCCTTGCTGCCCTGTCTGTGGAGAAATGATGACCTCAGCATTTACCATTCCTGACTTCCCTTCATGAGTCAGGGATATACCTCCAACTAACCTGTTATTCTAAATAATTCCCATTGTAATACTAGCACAAATTAATTCATTTACAGCCAGTTTCAGCTCATTTGTTTTCAGCCACTATAACTCTTTTGAGATGCCTTTGATTCCCTGAGCTCCGCAGCCCTGTGTATCTTTCACAGAGAAGTCCCCAAATTATTACCTCACTAGCAAATTGAGCCAAGTACATGATACTAGGCCTGCAGTGAAAAATATGTATCAAAACCAAGATCAAGCACTTCCCTTTTCTTGCATGCTAGCATTAGAATTGGCTTTCCTGACCCCATAGCCTCTTTTGTGTAATATACATCTCATAGTACAAGGTGCTGCTAGTTGAAATACATCACAGGGATGCTTATTTCCAGAGGGAAAAGCCACCTGTGATGATCAAGATGCCAGCTCTCCCAATATGATTCCTTTTGAAAGCTACTTTACTGAATGGGACCTCAGCATTCATGCCCTATATATTATCAATCTGTATAGAGTACATCCATTGGGTCCACTATGGGCATTACAACTGAGAAGGAGCCTAGGCTACCTCAGCATTTATAATTTGGCAGGAGAATTACCTCTGCTGGTACCTCATTCAAAATTCCTCACAACAGAAGGAAGAATGATTGTATTTTTATATTTTAGAAACAGTTTTATTTCACTAGGACAAAAGTTTAGAAAGAGCAGAAAATGAACTTGTGTTCACTCAAGTGTCTGTATAGCTATGTGCATGGGGTGTTAGTGATATTTTCCATGATAATCTTATTTGGAATATGACATAAAACATGAAAAAAATCAAAATAAAAATAGCACTTAAGGCAAGACTATGAGGTGTGTTTAACAAATGGAGCTGAGTAGATATCTTCCCAGTATAGGACTATAAAAAGTGTCGCTCTCTTGTGCTAGTATTACAATGGGAATTATCAAGCCTATCGGATGCTGCTCTACAGGTGATGGGCTAAGGAAGAGACTATTATATATGGTAATTATCTTCCCATCTTCCCAGAGTTTCTGGACTTTGGAAGATATGGAATACAGAAAATTCAGAAAAAGTTCTTTTCTATCTGTAGATTTAAAAGAAGAACACTTGAAGTCTGACTAAGAAAGAGTCAGTTGAACTAAGGTCCCACCATAAAGTAGGCCTTTAGAGAGGAATCATGTATAGTTAAGAATTAAGACTCAAAGACTGACAAACCTAGCTTTAAGTCCTGATTCTGACACTTAAGAGCTTTATGCATTTGGACTAATTTTTTTAGCCTTTCTAGGACTTGGTTTGCTTCTCTGTAAAATGGAGATACAGTATATAATGTCCATCACATACATAAGAGGCTTTAAAGTAAATGATGCATATAAAGTACTTTGTGCCTGGTAAAAACTCAACTGTTAGTATGGTAAAAGGAAGTCCCTCACTTAGACTGGCTGGACTCAGAGCCATAACTGAGTTCTCCCTCAGGCTTTGCTGATATTCCCAGGAGAAGAAAGTTCTGGTTGCATTTGGACAGCTATGTAGTTAGCTCTTAGCCTAAGAGTCTAAATAGGTTCTGAACTGAGTTGGTTCACCAGTAGAAATTCCAAACATTGGGGAGGTCTGGGAATGGTGGGAAGCAATTCCCAGAGTTCACTAAGATTGAACTCAATCTGGTGCATGGAAAAGTGCTTCCACAAAATCCCTACATTGTCCTGTCATTCCAAGGGCTGCTCCCTTGGCCCCCCCGGCTAAGATAAGACCTGCATTCCACATCCCCAGTTTAAGACTCCTTTTGGGGAAGCAAGAAACTGGATGATCTATTAGTGTCCTCATCTTCAACTATCTGGGCCCATCTCATGGTTACTGCTCAGGATCCCTCAGAGACAAAATTAAGCCAAAGTTTTAGACATTTCAAATAAGATTACTTGCAGATTCTATTTTGAAAGTAAAACCTCTCATAGGACCATCCTTTTTCTTCAGTCTCCTGAGTTAGCTCTTAAATATATTAAATCATGTTTTTAACAGGAATCCCCACCCCAAAAGAAGATAAGCAAAGTGAAAGTCATGGTAGTTAGTTTAGAGGTAAAAGGAACTTAAAAGATCCTATGGTCTAATTGCATTCTCTTAAAATTAATGCCTCAGAACTCTTGTCAGTTGAAATGTCAAAATCTAAAACAGACAAAGTAAGAGCTATTTTGGTTGACGAGATCTCCAATAGCTGGGTCTCCCTGTCACCTGAGAAATAGCCTCAGGTTACTTCCTCAAAATGATTATGAGAAACGATCTGAAAATCCCTGCCAGGGCTCAGTTTCCCTGTTTCAGAAAAATGGAAATTGAAGTTAGAGAAAGTACTAGATTTTACCAAAGTCATAGCATGATCTTTTGAATCATAGACTATTTTGCTCTTTTTGTAGTTGGTGCCATTAAAATGACCATGCTTTTAAAACTTGCAGACTTCTTACACCCATTCTGTCTAATCTTGGATTTGATGCTGTCAGTTGCAGTAAAATCAGTCAAGGCACAATCTGGAATCCAAAATCATCAGGCCACAAAGCCAAGAGATTTGATTCTCAGCCCACCCTTTGCCTCTGAAGTCACAGCCCATCACAGTAATTTGTGTCATTTCTGTATGCTAGCATATAAACTTGAAAACATGAGATAATTTCGTGTTGCTTTTCACTGTCATTTTTCAAGTTAGCATGGCACATTGCCATGACCCTAGTTCAGGCCTTCAACATCTCAAGCTGAACCACGAGGCAGCTCCTTCACTGATGCTCCTGTCTCTCATCCCTTCTGGCTTGTGTTGCCAGATCCACGTCTCTGCACACCTCTTTCATCATGTTACTCCCTTCTTCAGTGGCTTCTCATTGCCCAATAGACCAATTATAAATCTTCTGTCTAAAACCTGAAGGTCTCTAAAATCCGGCTACACACTTCCACTCCAGCTCCTGAGCATTCTCAACCCGGCCCATCCGTCCAGTCAAAGTGGTCTTTATTCACACCTGCCTTGGACTTCCACACTGAGCTCCTCTGCCTTTGTTCTGGACATTTTTCTGCCTTCCCTGATGTGCTGCACCTACCCAGGCTCCAGCAGGCTCCCAAACCTGGCCTAGGAAATACCTTGTGTACCATAAATTTTTAGGAATTGTACCACTCACTTTATAGAATTTCATTTGTTTTCTAGTTTTATAATCTCTCTAAATGCTATGCTATTTAATTCTATAGATAGCTTTATTTGGGTATAATTTGTCATAAAATTCAATTTAGTTTAAAATTTTTGAAGGTTTACCATGTGGTAGCAGCATTTTTTTTAATTTTTATTTTTGTTAAGACATGTTCACAGTCCACAGTGATTATATTCCTGTGAATAGTTGGTACCTGCACATAACACATCCTCATTCTTTTTTCTCCCCTCTTTTCTTTCTTCCTTTTCCCTTCTTTCCCCTTTCTCTCCTTCTCTTGATCCCTTTCCTTTTTTTTGATTCACGACCTCACACCTGCCAGGTAGGCGCTTATGCCAGAGCTAAATCCCTGGGCACCCTTCCCTTTTTAATATTTTTTTTACTGGTACATGTTTGCAGTAAATAATGATTATATTCCTTGTGGAATACAAATTCATATATATATATATATATATATATATATATAATTCTTATATATATTCTCATATAATCATATAATTCTTTCTTCATCCCTTTCATGCCCTTCTCTCTCCCCTACTTTGCTTGGTCCCCTTGCTGTATGCAAAATATCTATCTAGGTATTTCTTATTATCTATCCTTTACTTTCTTCTTTATTTAGATTTTTTGTTTCTCATAAAAGAGAAACTGTGCCATATTTAAATGTGTACATTTTATTTATTTCACTTAACAGTGTGGTCTCAAGGCACATCCATTTTTCTACACATGACTTAAGTTTGTCTGTCTTTATCACAGAGTGGTACACCTTTGTATATAAATTCCACATTTTCTTTATCCTTTCATCGGTTGATGGACCCATAGGCCATTCCCAAGATTCACCCACTGTGTTTTGTTCTGCTATAATTATGGGTATGCATGTGATACTTTGATATAATGTCATTAACTCTTTCAGGAAGAAGGAGACTTTCTGGGTCAAATGGAATTTATTGCTTTAGTTTTTGTAGAAATTTGTATACAACAATGTTAAAGAGTTCCTTTTTTCCCTGCAGCCTCACCAGCATTGTTATAGTCTGATTTCCTGGATGATAGACTTCCTTTCTGTACTAAGATGGAATCTCCATGTTATTTTAATTTGTGTTTCTCTAATGGTCAGAGAATATCTTTTCATGTATTTGTTGGGTATTTATGTTTTCCATAGAGAAGTATATATTCTTATCAGCTGCCAATTTGAGTCTTTTAGTTGAGAAAATCTGTTTTTGTTTAGTTCTTTATATACTCTAAATATTGACCCTCTGTTTGAAGTGTACCTGGCAA